AAAATTTCTTGCTATTTATACAGCACCAACCATAATGTATCCATCACTTTCTGGTTTATCTGTAAAATGAGGATACTTATAGTCATGACAGAAATGATAGATGTACATAAGCTTAGCACAGTGACGGGCCAGGTGTAAGCAGTGGATTATTCACTTACATATTATTTACCATTAGCTACAGATTCACACAGCCGTATAATTATTATATTATTTTATGTTACATGTTATACACATTTATTAACTCTAAACACACATGTATGTGTATGTATTGTGTGTGTGCATTTTGTGGGTGTGCTCCACACCCTCAGTGATGCAGAAGCAACAAAATACATTGGCAAGGAGACTGCTAGACTGGCCAAAAGTTGATCCAAAATTGTGAAAAGAGTAAAGATCTGCACAGAGTAATGTCTAATCCCAAAGATTTTTCAGCAAAATTTTAACCCCTATTCAGTTGGAGTTCCAACAGTAAGTGTTGTGTCAAGATATTTTGACTTTTATTCCATTGAGTAAAGATCAAAACTTTCTTGACACCAAACTTTCTACACCATTAAAATGGTCGTCCACATACCTTCTCGATTAACTCATAACTCTCTTCGAGTTTGAGCAGCCTGTTCTGCACAGATGTAGATGCTCGCTGATAGACTGCACGCCACTCCTGAAAGTCATTCTCAGAAATCTCAGCCACGGCAAAACATAAAGTTCTTAACCCTGAAAAAGGTAGCATACACCACCCCCCAACACACAAAAGAAGTTATTCAGAATTCCGAGGTTTCCATTTTTATTTAACAAAATCTCACTGTGAGAAGACCGATTCAATTCAAAAATATGCTGAGTCCAATTTAATGACAAGACNAAAAAAAAAAAAAAAAAAAAAAAAATCAGCAGGATAAAATATTAAGTTCAAATTGGCACGGGACTTCAAAAAGTTCATAGTAAGATTCGTACTATTACTTTTCTACAAACATTTTGACGTACCCTCCTAAGGGGGAGATAATCTAGATACATATCTACATATCTATATGTATAATCTATATCTATATATCTCCCTCATATAAAATATAAGGAATATATAAGGTATAATATGTGAGAAACAAACCACCTCCCCTGAAGTGGTCACTATCTACTGAAGACAAAAGAACAATATCTAGAGTTACACACAGTATGTGATGACAGAGAAAACCACCTGTAGCTAGAACGTGACATTTCCCAGTATTATATAAAGGAGAGGGCGCATGGGAAGTGAAAGAGGGAAAAAGTCCAGGGAGGTACCAGCAGCACTAGCTACCTTTTAAGACAGGAACTGCCAGGAAGTACATAGTTTGATAGAGAGGAAGGAGGAGGAAGTGTCAGCCTTTACTTACCTGAAGGCAAGATCAAGTCAAGTATAGCTAACAGGCTAGTTTGATTCTGTGCAGTACAAACATGAGTACAGTTGAAGTAATTAGCTATCTGGGAAGTTACTTAATGGAAAGTTCAAGGTTAGAATGAAGACTCTTGAGAGATTCAGAGCATGAACACTGCAGCAAGAGTGAGAATTCTGTCTCACCCTCTTTGGGCTGTGTAAACTCAGCCAAATTACTTAACCTCTCTGTTGCCTTAATTTCCTCATCTGTCAAACAGGCATAACTAACATCTCAAGGGGATGTTGTGAGGATTAAAGGGGTTAATAGATGGCAGTGCTATGAACAATATCTGGCACGCATAAAGCACTACGCAAAAATGTTTGCTATTCGTAATTAAGGATGCAAAATTTCTTGCTATTTATACAGCACCAACCATAATGTATCCATCACTTTCTGGTTTATCTGTAAAATGAGGATACTTATAGTCATGACAGAAATGATAGATGTACATAAGCTTAG